TCCTGTCCCCGGGTTCCCTGGTATGGCTTCAAGGTCAGTCTCCTCACCCTTGGCCTCCTTGGCTCTGGCCGAGAGGTTCTGATACAGGGCGGGCCCTGGAGTGAGCAGCGATCTGGAGCCTAGCGCCTCCTCTGGCTGGAGAGGCTCTCTCCGAAGCCTGGCAGCTACATCAATGCTCCAGAGCTGGGCCTAACTGCTTGCCCGGAGACCTGGAGGCTGAGGTGACCCGGCTGGATGTGAACAAGCATTGTGAGCTGCTCAACACACTCAGGTTGCTGAGAGAGGGAGATACAGTTGCCGAACAGCTGCCCAGGCCCACAGCAGGGGGCTGGCCAAGGCAGGCTTGGGTGCTGGCAGGTGGGGCAAGGTGGAGGAACTTTTAGTGGCCTCCTCTTCCTCCTCCTCCTCCTCTCCCTCCTCCTCCTGGTGTTTGAGCCAGAACTTTCAAGCCAGAGGAACTCGCAGGGAGGGGAGTAGGAGCCTTTCTCCACCCAGGGGAAATTAGACCAGACTGCTCAGGAAATCAATGCAATTTTCCAGCATCACAGAAGGTTAGTTGGACAATAGTTTTTTTTTTTTTTTTTAAATAAAGAGAGAAATCCAATCGCTTTTGGCGGGGTTGTTTTTCGACTTCATTTCTCAGCCATAGCTGAAGGCTTCTCATTCAATGTGACATGTGACTGCTTGGTGACCCTGGCCTGGTCTGCGGCTGTGCCAGGGGTCAGGCCAGGCCAGCTGGAACCCATGCTCCCTGGGTCTGTGACCACCTCTTTCTCAAGAGTCCTACAGTGGGGTCTGGAGAAACCTCTGCAGGCTGCCCCAGCTGCCTGTCCCCAAAGGAGAGAATGAACTCAGGAGCTGGTGAATCCTACATGCCAGGCACAGAGGGGTTTATATGGCGGTGCACGCCTTTAGTCCTGGCACTCAGGAGACAGAGGCAGGTGGATCTCTATGAGTTCAAGGTCAGTCTGATCTACATAGCAAGTTCCAGGACAGCCAGAGCTACATAGTGAGACCCTATCTGGAAAAACAAAAACAAACAAATAAAAATGTCTATAAATTGGGGCCTTGAAAGTACTGAAAATGCCCCCTCTGCCCCCCCCCCCAACAGTAGGAAGTAGGAAGGCAAGATTGCCCCCAGAATGCAAATGGCCCTTGTAGTTTTTCATGGAGAGTGTTCTTGGAGTCCTAAGAAGGAAAAAGACCCTGCAGGCTGAGGTAGGGCCACTTCCAATCCTACTCTGTACAGAGGATGGACTTGTGGGGGGACACAGGCAGCTTCGGGGAGAGCAGGGAAGTGTCACATCAGAGAAAAGACAGCCGGGTGTGGGCAGGTGGAGCGGGGCCAGCTCTGTCGAGCTTGGTAGCCAAGAAGACCAGGGCTGGGAGCAGCAGCCTACGTGAGCAGTCTTTTTTTGTAGCTGAGCCAGTATGAAGACGGGTGGGGGTGGGTGGGGTGGGGGCTGGGCATGGACAGGCCTAGACACCTGCTTGTCTGAGCCACACATTAGCTGGTGGCAGAGCAGGTGAGGACAGACGGCCTGGCAGTATTCTTATCCCAACAATTCACCACTCTGGATCTGGAGAGGGGATCTTTGGGCACCTGAGTAAACAGAGTCACTCAGGCATCTGGAAGGCAGCAGGGGGTGGGGGAAGAGCCACCTGGGGAGATGGAAGGGGAGGCAGGCAACTTCTAAAGGGGAGCCAGGACCCCATGTGAAAGGGACGGATGGATGTGCGAGCATCTGGGAGGTGCCTGGGGCCACAAACCTGGGCCTTAAAATCCTGGCTCTGGTACACTGGCTCTGAAGCAGAGGAGGGCAGTGGGAAGGATTACTCTGACCCTGTGTTATCCATCCTCAGGAGCCTCCCTTTGATTGCCCCGGGGCCTCTCACACTCAGTTCTCCGGCCTCTTTACTATCACCCATGCCAGCCTCAGGGCCTTTGCACATGCTGTTCCCTCTGCCTGGATCACCTCTTTACACTGTCGGCTCTTTAACTTCCTGCTCAGTGTCACCCCCCTTTTCCTTTATTCCTTTTCTCTTTATTTTGTCCCCTCCTTCTTTCTCTCCCTTTCTTCCTTTGACAAGGTCTCACCCTGTAGCTCAGGCTGGTCTGGAACTTACTCGGTAGACCAGGCTGGCCCTGAACTAGCTAGTGGTAAGCCTCTTTCTTTGGACTCCTGAGTGCTGGTTCTAGGCACCGCCACCATGCGGCGGTGGTGCTGCAGCTCATCCACCTTCCTTTTCAATGCCTGTGCGTTTCCTTCACTGTGCTTTTCCAAAACACTTACTTCTCTGCTTACCTAAAGCACATGTGTTCTTACATGTTTCCCCTTCGCCCTTCTCCTGAGCCTGGCCCACGGTAGATACTCAGCGAGTGTTTGCTGAATGAATAAACGAACGATAAAAAGAGACAGCTGAGCAAACGCCTACTGGTGGATGTTAGGGCAGCAGAACCAGGGGATTCTTGTCCTCTCTTCTCCTGGCCTGGCCCTGCTGGGTCTCCAGGACAGTTCTGGCGGCGGGCGAGTGTGCTTCCCTAGGGATTCACAGTGAAAGGAGCTCTGATGTCTGAATGCCCCCAAGAGTGGGAGGCTCGGGGCGGACATGCCAGTTTCCAGTTAGAAATAGAAGGGGTGGGATTTTGGAATGTCCTGAGCAGCTGGAGCTGGTGACAGAGGGTGTCTGTCCCCAGCACCCCATTTCTTCACTCCCTACACTAGAGCTCAGCACACAGTATTTTTCATCCTTTGGTTGGTGAGACAGGGTCTCACTGTGTAACCCCAGGAGACGGGAAGTGGACCCCCCTGCCTGCTTCTGCCTCCCTGAGTGCTCTACCCACTGAACCATGCCCTCCTCTCTGTGCGCGCTGCCTGGCAGGACCAATGCTTTCTAAGAAGTGTGAATTCTCTCCCCTCCCTGCAGTCACGGGGATGAACCTGTGTGAGCACACGGTGAGGAGGCGGCCGCCTTTGACGCGGGGAGGGTGTCCCGCAGAGCCCGGTCTAGAGCCTGGCCGGGCTGTACCCTGATCTCCCCACCTAGCTTCCAGGGTTATGGGAAGTCAGTATCTAATGTCTGAGGCCTCCCAATGTGGTTGTTTGTTATAGTAACCTGCGCTGAAGGTAACAGGATCTCCAGTCTGGTTTTTTTCACATGGTCCTCCTAAATTCATGGAGAAACAAGGACTGAGGCCCAGACCAAGCAGGGTTAGGGCCCCTCTTCTAAGCGTTTCTTGTCTTGCTCTGAACTTCCAGTTCTCACACTCCTTACCCTCTCACACTCCTCCCAGCCCTGGCCTCAGATCCTGTCTCTTGCCCCACAGCCATGCTTCTGAAGCACAGAACACATAGTAAAACTTAAAAAAAAGAGAGAGAGAGCGAGAGATTAGCCTCAGGACCACTGTGTTCTGTTGAACAGGTTGCGCAATGCACAGGCAGGCATCACAGTAACGCGTTTGGACTTCACCCTAGAGGTCACAGGGAGACATCAAAAGCTTTTCCCACCAAGAGTAATTACTTTTCTTGGCCCATGTGTATGTAAGTGTACTGCATGTGTGTCTGGTGCCTATGGAGGCCAGAAGAGGGTGTCAGATGCCCTGGACTGGAGTTATTCGTGGCTGTAAGCTGCCAACTTGGGTCTTCTGTAAGAATAGCCAGGGGTCTTAATAGCTGAGCCATTCTTTAAAAATGGGGGAAAAAAAATCCTTCCCTAGATTTTTTTTTTTTGACCAGGCACTGAAGGTCCTGGTGGCCTTCATCTGCTCCTTGTGGACTTTACATGTAGCCACATTGAATATAACATGTTTTCCTACTCCTGTGCTTCACACACACACACACACACACACACACACACACACACACACACACACACACACACACACGTTTACCTGCCAAAGAATGCTGGAGAGGAAGACTGGCATGGACCAGAAATTCAGTTTCCCGGCTACTTATTGGGCAGGTGACCTCCAAGCCTCAGTTTCCTAATCTGAAGAGTGGGATTAAACATAAAACTCACTCCTCATTGCAATGAACACATAGGAGCCCTTCCAGTAAAAGGTGGTTTCTCAAAGGGTGGCGGCGGCAGCGGCGGCGCATGCCTTTAATCCCAGCACTCTAGCCCTCCAGAGGCAGGTGAATCTCTGTGAGTTCAAGGTCAGCCTGGTCTACAGAGTTCTAGGACAGCCAGAGCTACACAGAAAACCCCTGTCTTGGAAAAAAAAAAGAAGAAGAAGAAGAAGAAGAAGAAAAGAAAAAGTGTTTCCTCACAGTTGGGTGTGGTGGTTCATGCCTTTCATCCTAGCATAGAGGGTTCAGGCAGGAAGACTATCATGAGTTTCAGACCATCCTGGGCAACAGAGTGAAACCCTGTTTCCAAAACAAAATAAAAATTTTATAACAACAGGGCAGGGGAGGTGGCTTAGTGGATGAGGCCCTCATTAGGCAATTTGAAGCCTAGAATGTGGGTCTCCAGGACCCACATAAAGCCAGATGTTGTAGTCCACATCTGTAATCCCCCATGCCTATGGGGAGATGGGAAGCAAAGGCAGGAGACTCTCTGGAAGCTCCTGGACAGCGAGCCTGGTCTACAGAACCGTGAACAACAGACCCTGTCTCACACAGGGTAGAGTGTGGGGATTCACATCTAAGATTGTCCTCTGACCTCCACACATACACGATGCCATGCATGTACCCATACGTGCCTGAATTCACACACCCACACACATTAAAAACAACAACAAAACCCCACAAAAAAAAAAAAACACTACCAAGGGGGCTGGGGAGACAACTCAGTGGTTAAGAGCATTGGCTCACGAGGTCCAATTCCCAGCACTCCACAGTGGCTCCCAACTGTCCAACTCCAGGGCATTCCAATACCTTCTTCTGGCCTTAGTGGACAATACATGTACATGGTATGTTCAAGTGTGTCACTCTGCTCTGTTGGGTCCCCTTTTCTATCCAGGACTCAAGAGATAGCTCTGAATGTCCAGGACCGGCTATCATGCAAAGAAACTTTATTTTCCATGAGGCACACGGGTGGTGGTGGTGGTGATGGTGGTGTGGTGTGTATGTGTGGAGGACTCCCCCTAGTAAGCCCAGAATTGGGCACTAACTGGGAAAACTTTGCTAATATCCTTCGGACCCTGATCTAATGCTAGGGCTGGTCTTAGCCTGTACCTCTAGCCTAGCACCCCCCACCCCGAGTCTGATGTGCTTTTCCTGAGTGGAAATCATAATCCCTCAGATCTGACCTTGGCCAAAGACAATGGTGCTCTGTGGGCTGATAGGAAGGGACAGACACTTGCTCCACATTGAGTTGCAGTGGGCTTCTTCTGTGAGCTTCCCCTTGCATGCCGTGGAATAGTCTCCTAAGGAGGCAGGTGGGCTGGACGAAGAGCAACAGCTTTTGCCTGACTGGCTGGGTGTGGGAAGGAAAGGGCCCAACTTCTCCAAGCAGCTGGGGAAGCCGCCTCTTTGCATTCTTGACTCTCTGCTGCCCCCTTGTGGTTGTAAGGCTGGCGATGCCACATTGTGCAGGGGACCTCGTGTGTGTGCGTGTGTGTGTGTGTGTGTGTGTGTGTGTGTGTGTGTGTGTGTGTGGCTGGAGCAGAGAGATGCACTTGTATCTCTACTATAGTAACAGGGTCTCTCTTCCCCATCCATCAGATGTGGGTTACAATGCCAGGCAGCCGTGATACCTGCTCTGGGGCACTTGCTTATCAAGAAACTGAAAGCAAAGAGGGGTGGTGGTGGTATTCATTTGCAATGTATTGGGAAGGAGGGGCTAGACAGTAGGAATATGAGCAGTGCCGAGTCTTTTCTGACCACGGGGACAAGGGTCTTCTATTAAGCTAGCCCCACAGTCACAGCCAAGCGAGCCTTCAGAATCCTAGGCCAACATTACAGAAGAACTGAAAAACTAGACAGGAGCACAAGCTTGTAACTGTATAGACTAGGGATCTTTTATTATGCTCTTAGGAAAAAGATCCCAAAACCTCGGTAAATTATACCTAAAATCAAAGGAATCCAGAAAGTTCCACCAGATGGCTAGGAGTGGATCAGACCGCAGCAACTAGATCTCAAGATGGGAAGATATCTTGACTACCTCACTAGAGAGGGCCACACCGACAGAATCTTGATTGCAGAGTGGAAGAGGCAAGGGGTAGGAAAATTCACCCCCATTCTGTACTCAGGCTCGATGGGTCCCCCAGAGCAAGCTAACGTGGGTTGCATTATAGGGTACATGCATTGTGGCTGCCAGGTCTGCTCTGGCTGAGACCGTTGACCCTGTCTCTTCATCATAGATTTTGGGTTGCAATCGCCTGCTTTTCCCACAGCAGCTCTTCTTGGAGTGGTACCCCCAGGCCCGGGTTGGTCTCTGCAGTGAAAGCTTTGATGCTCATCGGGTGAGATTTGTAAACTACTGAAACTCGCCCCCCCTCCTGTGTGTGTGTGTGTGTGTGTGTGTGTGTGTGTGTGTGTGTCCACTTCTTTTTCTCAATAGAGTTTCATGTAGCTAGACTGGCCAAACTCATTACGTAGCTAAGAATGACCCTGAACTTCTGATCAAGGGTTCACTGCTGTGCCAGGTTTGCGGTGTTGGTGATCCAGACTAGCCCTCGACCATGTCAGGCAAACACTCTATCAACTGAGTTACATTCCCAGTCCCTAATGAAAACAAAAATCCTGGGCAGGCGGCTCTCAGCAAATAGAGGAAAGAAACAGGTGTGAGGGAAATTGAATCTGTCCCCAAACTGCACACATCATTACCAGCTTCCAGCCAGGAAACCTTCGGGTTCTGACCCAGCACCTGCTGTTTGCCATGAGGCAGGGGTCACAGGTCTCTGGCTCAACCTGCCACGTAGGGAATGTTCAAGCTAACAAAGCCAGGAGGTCATTGCAGGCGTTCTACACAGGGAGTCTTGGATGTGGGTGGGCTTCAGCAGCATGGAGGAGCCGAGGAAAGGTTCCCAGCGGAGTCTCTGAGGAACAGCTGTCTGGTGGATGGGTCTCTTTTTATAACTGAAGAGACGGAGGCCCAAGACCTGGGTGAAGGTTACTGCTGAGGGTCACAGCAGGTTCTAAGGCTTCAACTTGATCGATCCTCAGGTCCAACGGTCAGGTCTGTCAAGGTGGCCATAGCTCCATGTCTAGGGCAAGTCTCTTGAGATGTCAGGGAAGGTACACAGGCAGCTCCCTTCTCCTACACCCTGTCTGTGTCCTGAAGTAGAGCAGTCACCAGGCTGATGACCTGGAAAGCTGGCTGGGCCGCGTCGTACTCTGCGAAGAGGTGGCATACGTTCTCTTGCGGCTCTGTCTGGCTCTTGGCCACAAACCCAAAGATCCTGGTGAGAGAAGATAAGTCCGTGGGGTTGTGGGCTAGTGAGACATGCTGCTGAGGGGAGGGCTGGGAGGGAAGGACACTCAGCCTGAGCCCAACTGTCTCTCCCCAAGCCAGCTGACGTCAATATCCATGTCTTGTGTGTGTGGTGCGCACCTGTTTGTGTGGACGTGGCATGTGTCCATACATGTGCATGGAGGCTGATGTCGAGTGTCGTCCTCAACTGCTCTCTACTAATTTTGAGACAAGGTTTCTCACTGCATCTGGAGCTCACTGATTAGCTAGGCTGGCCAGCCACTGAGCACCAGGGATCCACTCATCCCTGACTCCCTAGCACTGGCATTATAGATAGGCACGCTGTCTGGCTTTTTACATGGGTTCTGGGGATCCGACTTCATCTTCTCACGCTTGAGTGGCAGGCATTTTCATCACTGAGTAATCTCCCCAGCACTTTCAGCACCTTCTCATAATGGGGCAGCTAAAGAAAGAGGGTGCCTCCCTTGTCAGACTGGGCGATCACTTATTTTAGGCTCTGGGTCTCCATTTTGAATGGGGCTTCCTAAGGACAAGACTTGGAAGCTCCATTAGGGCAAGGGTGTACTTGACCATCATCTATATATCTCTGAGATACAACCTGTGCCTTTGGCAATGACACCTACGACTCCAGACTGGGGGATCTTGTAAAAGCCATACCACAAAGGCTCTTAAGAACAAAAGGGAGGCCGGGCAGTGGTGGCGCACGCCTTTAATCCCAGCACTGGAGGGGGGGGGTAGAGCCAGGCGGATCTCTGTGAGTTAGAGGCCAGCCTGGGCTACAGAGTGAGTTCCAGGACAGGCTCCAAAGCTACACAGAGAAACCCTGTCTCAGAAAACCAAAACCAAACCAAAACAACAACAACAACAACAACAAAAAACCAAAAAACAAACAAACAAAAAAAAAACCACAAAAAACCCAAACCCCCCCCCCAAAAAAAAGAAAAGAGAAAAAAAGGGAAACCTTCCTTCCTCTCCTCTTTCTCTCTTTTCCTCCCTCCCTTCCCTCTTTCCTTATTTATCTTGAAATAGGGTGCTGTGGAATAATCCTTTTGTACACTGTGAAGATGTGTTGCTCTCATTGGTTTAATAAAGAGCTAATTGTCCAATAGTTAGGCAGGAAGAGGTTCGGCGGAAGAGGCAGACTGGGAGAATGCTGGGAAGAAGAAGGGCAGAGTCACTAGCCAGACACAGAGGGAGCAGGACATGTAGAAAATGAGGTAACAAGACATGAGCCATGTGGCAACAGGCAAATTAATAAATATGGGTTAATTTAAGTTGTAAGAGCTAGTTATAACAAGCCTAAGCTATTGGCCGAGCATTTATAATTAATAATAAGTCTCTGTGTGGTTATTTGGAAGCTGCCTGGTGGGACAGAAACCTCCACCTACAATAGGGTCTCCTTATGTAGCCCTGTCTAGCTAGCCTGGAACTGACTGCAGAGACAAGGCTAGCATGGAACTAACTACATAGACCAAACCAGCCTTGCACTCACAGTAATCCTCCTGCCTCTGCCTCCTAAATTCTGGGATTACAGGCGTATGCTACCACACCTGGTCCACCCTCCTTCTGTTCAGTTTGGGTCTCTGGCACAGGGCCGCCTCTTAGAGCCACTGAGCGGTGGGAGGGGCTTACCTGGAAGCCTTGTGGTACTTTTGCCACCTGAAAGAAGGGAACACAACAGGAGTGAGTGATGAGGCTCTGCCCTGCGCCCCAGGACCCCATCGAACAGTGGGAGCTACGTCTCCACCTCTGCCATGCCCCACCAGGCCTGATTCCCAACCTCTTAGGGCTCAGAGGCTGTCTCTGCTGTTTCAATCCCAGAGTCAGCAGATACTGCGGAAGGCAGCTAGGCTTGTCATGGCCTCCTTAGTTCGGCTCAACCTGGAACTTACTTCCGTTGCTCAGGGTCCATTCCACAGAAGCGGAGGGTGGTGAGTGGATAGTGGCGTCGGAAAAACAGCCTGGGTGGATGCAGGAAGAAAAGCCAGGCTGGTGAGGGCCTATTCCTATGCTGTGTCCCCCATTTCAGGATTTCTGGCTCCCCCATCCTGTCCTCGTAGGGTCTTAATACCTGTATGCTTTCTCTCTCACTACTGGGACTGGGCACACAGGCTGCTGCGTCTTTCTCCTTCCATGGACTACATCTGCCTTATGCTCTTATACGGGGGTCTTCTGCCGCCCACCCCATCCATTCACTTTTTGAGGCTAGGGGTTATAGCTTGGTCTACTCTTGCCCTCCTGGTTAAATAAGGGAAGGCTTTGGCTAGATTGAGTCCCCAAGTCCCTGGGTGAGCTCATTCCACTCTGTGTCTGAGGAGTCATTGGTGTCTGGCCTACACACAGACTTACTCAGCACCCAGTGGGAACTGCCTAACTTTATCCCTGTTGGTCTCAATGAGGGAGGCCTAGGGAAGGCAGGGATCTTGTCTGGTATCACCCAGCATTTGCCAGCCCTTTCATATCCGGGGCCCTGACCTCTGTGCCCAGCCTTCCCTCCAGTCTGCTCTGTTAGCCTTGCAGCCCAGGAGCTAGTGGAGGCCCTTACTTCCTCTGGACATCTGTCAGAGTGATGCCCTGTTCAGTGACTTTGAAATCGACCAAAGTAGGTGTGGGGAGGACCTCCTGCTCCAAGGTGATTGAGATGGCCTTCTGCACAGCCAGGGCTCCGCTCAGGGTCTCCACACTCACAGAGTTCAGGTACAGCGTGTGGCAACCTGTGGGATACAGATATTGAGCTAGGTCTGTAGCCAAGGTTTTATAGTGTGTGTGTATCACCGGGCTTGGATCCTCCCTATGCCCAGGGACAGGAACAGGGCAGAGGGAATGCCTTTCTTCGTCAGAAATCCAGTGGGATCCTCTTAGAGCCACAGAACAGACTAGGAGTCCAGGGGTGACCAAAACTTCTTTCCCTCTACCTATGGCTACCCCACCCCCTTGACGAGAATAGGGAGAGAAAGAAAGAACAGGAGGAGGGGAGCACAAAGCAGAAGCCATCACTGAGTGCAAACGGATGCTTGGCCTCTGGAAGTGGGGACCTTTGAAACCCTTAAGATCAGATCTCATCCCCCACAGAGGGTCCAGACCTGGAGACCACCGCCAGGGCAGGAATCTCAAACACAGAGAGACCCTATTACAGATATGTGTACAATATATGCGAGGGTGTCGGCTTACCAGACCCCCCCTCCCTGTGCCTGGTCCTCCCCCCCCCCCTGCTGGCCCGAGGCGGCAGCCTCTCAGCCTCTCATCTCTTGGTTTATGAGACCGAGAAGGGGGGTGTGCAGCGGGCTGTTAAGGCTGCAGAAACAAAGCAGTAATGGGAAGCATGTGTGGGCTTGTGTGAGTCTGTGTGTGTGTGTGTGTGTGTGTGTGTGTGTGTGTGTGTGTTCGTAGGGCTGGGAAGTGTTATCCGGGTGCAGTGGGCCTGGTGCCCCCCCCTGTACTACTCACCAGCTGATATCTTCAGGCAAGAGGTCTGGCCTTGTGTGGGGGAGTCCAAGGCTGGTTCTGCGCCTCCCAGTTCTGAACAGAGGCAAAGGAAAATGCCCCAGGGGAGAGGGAGGAATGAGTGGACCCCTCTCAGGGGAGCAGCCGCCCTCAAGAATCCCTTTGAACGCCTCCCACTGCCGCCCCCACCGCCAGGAAGTGACAGGCTGGGAAGCCAGGTGTGAGCGCCTCAATTAGAGAAATGAGGACCACTTTGCCTGGCTTGCAAGCCTTTTGATCCCTTCCCACCTCTACCCTCCCGCCCCCTCCCCCCCAGGCCTGGGCCTGCTGCTCCGACCTTGCCCTCACAAGCCCCTGACCTCTTCTTTTGGGCCCCGCCCCCACCCCAGGCTCTTTGTAAAGCAGGGGTGCTGCGTCTCCCTCCATGGCTTGTTTAGGGCTCTTCCTGCTCCCTCTCCACTTCACTCCCACACCACCGAGATGACCCCCTTGGTCTGGGAGCTCGGGCTGCATCTTGTGGATGAGGCTGCTGACCTGAGCCTGGGGTGGACTCTGTGGGCCTGTGGACCAGCTACTTAAGCCTGGAACCCCATCTATTTTCCCTCTTTCTTCTTTTTATCAGTCTTATCCCAGAGTGCTAACTGGACTGGAACTCACTACAGAGCCTCAAGTTCCTGGTCACTTTGCCTGAGCCTCCCAAGTGCCGGGATTACAGGTAGAGACCACGCCCTCATTACCTACCTATGAAATGGGGCTATGGGTAAGAGTTATAAGGGTGGTGATAGAGGGATGTGTAGGGGGAAATACTATCAGACTTGCTCATCCAAACTGCTGGATTCAGGCGCTGTAATCCTTTCAGAGAAGGCCAGTGCTTCTCAACCTTCCTAACGCTGCGGCCCTTTAATACACTTCCTCATGGTGTGGTGACCCCCAACCAGAAAATCATTTTCATTACCACTTCATAAGTGTAATTTTGCTACTGTTTATGAATCGTAATGTAAATATCTGATGTGCGACTCCTGTGAAAGGCTCATTTGACCCCACCCCCCTGCACCCAGTGGGTCACGACCCACAGGTTGAGAACTCCTGCTCTAAGGTCTATTCTGGGCCAGGCACTGTGGTGTCAGGCTTGTCTGAACAATCTCATTGAATCTGGGCACTGACACTTTGGGTATGTCTAAAGATGGTCGTTCTTATTTGTGTATGGGGGAGGGGGCAACCTTAAATTCTCACAGGTGGGAGATGGAGAGACACGGACCTAGCCCACAGCAGGCACTTGTCATACTGACCCTAAAAAAATTTGTCAGCAAGGGTGAAGTGGCCGCTTTTAGTGAGAGCCAACGGGTCTGACCCAGCCACCTACCTTTCTGTGGGATGGAGAGTTTGCAGGGCAGGGCCAGGGCCATGATGGAGTGCTGGTACACGAAGGCCGAGAGGCTCCCTGCGAAGGAGCAGGAAGGCCCAAATGAGCAAGGCTTTCCCAGGGGTTTTCCATCCCCCATTCATGGTGCGGAAGACCATGCCCCTACCCCCCCAGGCTGGCGAGTCTTACCAAAGTAGGGCTCCTCATCTGCTCCTTTCAGGTGTACCCCTTTGGCTGAAGACTCAACCAGGAAGTGACGTATAAGGTCAGCGCTGTCCTCACCTAGACAGAGGGAGGAGTTTGGTCTCAGAGCCCGGTGTTAGCTGAAGCCTGGCCCACATGATGCGACCCACTTCTTCGGGGTCCATTCGGAGGCTCGCATGCTAGCCTCTGCCTCCCCGTGGAGGGGCACGGCGGAAGCATGTGTTCACGGGCTCCAAAGTGGCAGGGCATTCGCTCAGAGGAGCCTGGGTTTAGAAATTCCCCCAGCCCATGCCGGCTGCCATTATTTCCCTTCAGCTCATCCCTGCAGGCGCAGGGAGGACAGGCATCAGCGTGCCCTCTGACCCTGCTGTGACCCCAGGGGTGGCTGATCCCCCTCACTCCCCGCCCCATGCTGTGGCTGTAACCCATATTAAGCAATCTCTCTACCACTGAGCCAACCCCCCAAAACCCTTGCTAAGAACACGAGGTTGGGTGCTCCATCCTCAGTCTGTGTCTTAATTCCTCCCCTGGGGGTCATCCCCCGAGACTCAATCACAGTTGTGTTTAAGTGACCCCTTGTAGCAGTGTCCTAACTGCCCTCATCTATCTCCCCAGTGAGGTGGTTTCCTCATGTCAGTGACTCCTCTGCATGCCTGCTTCCTTACACAGGGGTCTGGTGCGTGGTAGACCCCTTGGAGAGGTATGTGCTGAGTTACCAGATAAGCACGTGAGATCATAGGACAGCAAACATACTACCACACATATGCTATTAGCAATTACACACGTGATAAGCTCTGTCACACAGGATTAGTTTTTTATTTTATTTTTTTAAGACAGAGTTTCTGTGTAGCCCTGGCCGTCCTAGAGCTCCCTCTGTAGACCAGGCTGGCCTCAAACTCAGAGATCCACCTCTCTCTGTCTTCTGAGTGCTGAGATTAAAGGCCCCGCCCAGCAGGATGAGCTATTTATTAAACACATGATAAATTACTACATAAATGATAAGATATTGGAAGTGTGATAAGCTCACACATACATTAGTCACATTAGGTTCCAGGAGGTAAATCCAAGCTAGGTAGGAGAGCCCAGAAGACGGCAGCCTGAGGAGAGGCTAGGAGCTTCCTTCTCTACCCTTTCTCAAGGGTGGGACAGGGAATCTGGGGAGGCAGGGGCATCTCAGCCTTTCAGAGATGCTCCTCATGGTGCCTAGGTGCTAGAGGGTACCTGGGGGAGCCAGGAGGGGGACTCTCCTCCTGATAGTCACTGTCAAGCTGGGACAGAGTCCACCATGGTGAGGATTCTGAGGTGATCAAGCAAAAGGTCCGTACCTGGTCGGTTTGGGGCAGATGCCGGCGCCTCCTGTACCTTCAGGGCAAGGCCGAAGGAGCCTCGGTAAGAGGAACTGTCTCTGATGACGAAAGCCCCTGGCTTCTCCTTCCTCAGCAGATCGATTGCTGGAACAGTCTTTGGTTAGAGGCCCAGCCACTGTACACCAACACTCTCTCTTCTCATCCCCGCAGGGTCCTCCGAGAGAAGTCACACAACCTCCTGTCCCCAGGAGGCCCTTTCTCCTGTCTACTTTCTGCAGGTTTTGCTTACTTCCTATTTCCTAACGAGGCCAGCAGGTCACCCACCCTTCCGCAGGCTGCTATTTGCCACTTTCTCTATCACATGACCCAGGGCCCCCGTCTGCCTACTGCACAGTACAGGCCAGTCACTGGGTCACTTGTCCCCTCCAATACAGTGTTGGCTTTACCTTGCTCTCGAGTGATGCTCGGCTTAAACCAGTATTTTGATGTGTCCATCACGAACTTCATGGTGGGCTGCATGTCCTTGGCAGGACCTGGAGACAGGCAGAGAAGAGGCGCTCTGGAGGCTGGATAGAGGGTGGCTGAGAGACCCCCAGAGAGAATGCCGGAGACCTGTCTTGCTCCTCTTCCCAGGGATCCTATTCCACTCATCCTTTCTGAGCCCATCTCCAGGGTCCCTCCAAATAGCCTAAAGAGGAAAGCTCAACTGGAGCTGTGGCTCAGTGGGTAGCGTGCTTGCCTAGCATGCACAAGGCCCCAGGTTTGACCCCTAACACAACATAAAACCAGGAGGGATGGTTCTTGGCTATTAATCCCAGCAATCAGGAAGCTGGGGCAGGAGGATTGCTTTGAGGACAAAGTCAGCTTGGTGTTCTTTGAGTTTCACGTGTGATCTGTGGCCCGTGGGCCCCCGGGTGGTAAAGTCTGTTGTTGTTATTTTAAAGGCATAGCTGAGGTGCGATTTTTTTTCCTGTTTGGGTTGCTTTCAGGGCAGTGAGCCTTGGACTCTAGTGCACAGCTCACAGACACAGGAGTCATCCTGGGAACCCCCGAGGAGGAGCCAGGCTCTGCCTGCAGATGGCTGAGAGAGGAGAGTCTGGGACCCGGTCCCGGGGACTCTGCTCATGGGAGGTGTGTGCCTCCAGGGTGCCGCGGCTCGGCTTGTGTTTACAGCTTCGGGTTCTCTGGATGTCTATAGTCACAGGCTCCGGGAAGGAGGATGTTTGCTCTTTTGTGGTTTTCAGCCATCTGTGTTGGGATGCATCGTCTCCATTCCCTGCTTGCCTCCCCACCCCGCTATGTTCTTGTCATTCATGAACGTCAGAGTGAGGAATGACGCACCCTCTGGCTCTCCTCAGGACAGCCAGTTAGTCACCAGTTAGCCTCTTTGGATGGCCTGAGGGTTGTCTGGCTCCATTTCCTCCCTTACCCCAACTGCCCAGCCCTGGTCCTACTCCATAATCCTTCTGCCAGACAGCTTCCATGGTAAGCCATTCCGTCTATACTGCTGACCCCACCCCTTCTTCCTTGCTTTGTTTCTTACTGTAGGCCCCAGGTATCTCTGCAAGGAATGCCTTTTCCCCCTTCCTTTGGTTGCCGACTAGCTCAGATGTCACACCCTCCATTCTTCAAGTTGCCTAAGCCACTCCATCTGTCACCTATGAAACGTCGATACCTCTGTGAGGACCCTACTCTATGGTAAGTCTTGGTTTGGGTCACTCTTTCTAGATTGTGTCCATCTGTGTGTCCCTGTGTGTCCTCACACCCTGGCACTATGCTTGGTAGACCAATACTGTGGTAGTCAATAAAAGTGGGTAGTCAATAAAAGTGTCAACCCCTTGGTCTTTGACTAGTCCCCTTAACTAAACCCTCTGATGCTGAAGATGTTGGTTACAACGTACCCTCTGGAGATGCAGTGAGAGGACCATCTGGTAGGGTCTGGTTGTGGCTCTTGGTGGCCTGACAGGGGTGACTGGGAGATGCAGCCCCAGGAGGGACAGAGCCCTGGTGTCCTGGTGTCCGCTGGGCTGGGGGAGACTGTGGTTCTGGGCACCCATTGATTAGCACAATGGGTATGTCCACCATGGAGTTGGTGACAGATGGGGGGCAGCTACTGGCCTGCTCCCTGGCTACTGGAGGACAGTGGGCTGCTTGAGACTGGACCACGTTTGGTATAGAGTTGTTGCTGGGAACCTGGGCATCACTGGGTTTCATGCACTGGGACCCTCGGTCCAGGCTGTGGAGGCTGGAAGCGGAGCTGGCTGGACTTCCCAAGGATCTTGAAGATGACTGATAACTGGAGAGGCTGGAGTGGAGGAGGGACTGACTGCTAGAGAAAAGTGGACAAGTATTAGGATGTTGGGTCCAGCACTCAGGGCCAGAGCTATGTTCTGGAATCTAGCCATCTGGGGGCCCTATCCTGAGTCAAATAGACCATTGCATATACCCTTACCCCAAACCCAGAACAAAGAGCACCCCCATCTGAATTCCAAGGGTGCAGCAGGGTGCAGAACCTCCCTAGGATGGAAGGATCTTTTGTCATTTAAACTAGCCAGTGGGATTAACCTCCAGCCATTAGTCCAGCCTGGATTTTCTCGGCTTTCACCGACTGGGTGGTCTGACTGAACCGTCACAGACAGCAGGATCTCCACTACTCATCACTCGCAAAAGGCCTGCAGAGAGGCTGCAGCACCTGGGCTGGACATGCCTGTGGCTGGTGCAGGCAGAATGTTCTAGCCGGAGGAGGTAAACACCACCAGGCCAGCACCACTGGTGGTGGGATCTCTGTCTCCTTTGCCAGGGACTGCCTTGGCCAATGCCTTTGGAGTCGGTGTGTGTGGCTGAGGTCTGGTGGGTTAGTCATCCTGAAGCAGGATGTGCAATGCTACTGTGAGGCCTAAGATCGGAGACCTGGGACCACGGAAAATAAGGTTCAGGGGGGTTGTCAGTGGCTCAGGGAGGGAGGCTTTCGTTCCCCCAAGTCTGTGTACACCCTGAGCTGTACTTATTAATTTCAAAAAGTATTTGTTTTATGTGTGCGAAGGCCTTGTCTGTGTGTGCACAGTGCCTGTGAAGGTGACAGGAGGGCACTGGATCTCCCAGGACCAGAGAGAAACAGATGGTTGTGAGCTGCCGTGTGGGTGCTGGGAACTGAACCCGGCTCCTAGGCCAGAGCAGGCAGTGCTCTGAACCATTGAGCCACCTCTCCAGCTCCCACTGCTGAATTTTAATAACCTTCCCTCCAGATGGGTCATGTGAGGGCTGGGAAGAAAGCAGGTGAGTCTCAATAACGGAGTACCCTCTTCTCAAAAGGTCAATGGAGGCCATGAACACTGAATTATGTTCTAAATGCTTTGAGGAGAATGTGAGATAGAAATGGCTGTGACGGTAGAAAAGACGTGTATTTTTTTGTTTTTTGGTTTTTCCCTAGATAGGGTTTCTCTGTGTAGCCCTGGCTGTCCTGGAACTCACTCTGTAGACCAGGCTGGCCTCCAACTCACAGAGAGATCTGACTGCCTCCACCTCCCCTGGATGCCGAGACTAAAGGAGTGAGCTGAGCTACCGCAGCCCAGACAACATGTATTCTTTTGACTCTCGATGTCCGTGCATTTTGCTCACGGAACAGGGTGCCCTTCTGTTGTGTGTGTGTGTCTCCGTGTCCACACGTGTGCTGCTACGCGTGCGAGGCCACGACCACGGAACTTACCTCCCAAACACATAGCTGACGTCTGACGTGGGGCTGGCTGACAGCACCGAGACCCTGCTGCCCCGCTGGGGGGCCCTCGGCCCTTTCTCCCAACCTGGAGGAGTCGCCAGTGGAGACCCTGAGGCCCTGCTTTCCCGGCTGCCGGGGCTGGAGTTGCTAAGGGAAGACGGGGTGTGGGGAGAGGGACCCCTGCCCTGGTTCCCAGAGAAGATGAGGCTCTCGCTGCTGCTTCGGGTCTCTCGGGGGATGTCTCTGGAGAAGAGGAGGCTGCCGTTGCGTGGGGAGCCGAAGGGTGGAGTGGCACATGGGCTGGAGCAGCGTTGGGGACCCTCGAGGCCCCTTGATCTGGTGGAGGTCACTTCGATGTACTTTATATCTTTGGGGAAGGGGAGAGAAAGAAAGCATTGATGAAAGCCAGGAGCCGGCGAGGACTGATGAGTGGAATGCTGTCTGGCAGAGGTGGTGGAAATTAGGGGTGCACAAGCTGTCCCCCCCTCTAGAGGGTCATGAATCCTTTCCATGGTTTCCCAGGATGGAAATTAGGGTAGGGCCCTGGAGAGCACTCAGTTTACTAAAAACAGCTCATTCCTCGCCTGTGCAAAAACGGTGCAGCCCAGCCTGCCCTGGGTACCCAGGGTTCCTTCCTCTGAGCCTGTGGTGCCTGAGCCCCGGGGTACTGGGTGGAAGTGGGCATTCTATCAGACACACAGGGCTGGTGGGCTGACTCAGGCTTGCTGGCTCAGGGGATGTAGAAACAGCCTGGATTGCAGTCACACACACTTGGGCGTGAATCTTGACGTCATCACTTTCTAGCCAGAAGGCACTGAGTAACTTTCCAGACCTCTCTTGGCCTCAGTTTCTTTATCTGCAAAGCTGTGGTCTACACCCAGCCTTCTAGGGTGGTGCTGAGGCGCAAACACAGGATGAATGGAGCCTGGTTCATGGCAGGCCTCCTCAAGGAGGGAACACTCCCTATCAGCTACTCTTGGTGGTCCAAAGGGAGCCCCTCACTAGCTGAAATGGGTATCTTTGGCTTAAGAGAATGGAGTAACAGAGGTATTCAGGGAACTACACTGTAGGCTCTGAGAGAGAGCGGAGAGTGAGAGAGATTTTTCCAGGACGCTGGCAGTTTCTTTCCTTCACTTACAAAAAACAAAAAAAAATCACTGGGTGGTGGTGGTGCACGCTTTTAATCCCAGCACTTAGGAGGCAGAGGCAGGTGAATCCTTGTAAGTTTGAGGCCACCCTGGTCTACAGAGTGAGTTCCAGGACAGCCAGGGCTGTTTCACAGAGAAACCCTGTCTTGGGGGGTGGGGAGTCGGGGTAACAAAACAAAATCTTTCAAGAAACAATGTAGCCCCAAACATTGTATCCTTATGTAGCCCAGGATAGCCTTGAACTGCCTCTGATATCCTTGTCTCTACTTCCTCAGTGCTGGGATCACAGGTAGGAGCCACCGCATCTAGTTTTATGTGGCATCTGGAGTACTGGGGCTAGAACCCAGGGCTTTAGGAATGCCAGGCAAGCCCTTTTACTGAGCAGCGTTCCCGGCCCCAACGTCTCTTTTTATAAAGACGTTACACTGTTTATGCCCAAAACCACCTCTGAGCCTGACAATGGCCCTTGGGCAGGCCAGACATTGTTTTTACAGAGGAGGTAACCGGTGACTGGAGATTAAGCGGGAGTCGAGTTGAGGCTTCTTGCATAACTTTTACCAAAGACAGGCAGTTGCTAGCACGTAACACAGCTGCTCCGTGTCCTGTTGCCGCAGCTCTGCTGAAATGCCATCGATCCCCATGTAACCATGAGAACTCAAGGTTCAGCTAGGCTGAGTGAGTCGTTCAACGCTGCACAGCTAAGGGAGCGGAGGGCTCCAACTTCTGCCCCGGAGCTGCGTTAGCGGCCTCTTCTAGGACGAAGAGGAACTCTTGGGGATGCCATTCCAAGGCCTTTCTGGTGTTTGTCCTAGTGTGTGGGTCTCTTGACCTGGTGAGGCTCCTAGCCCCCAACTTCATGGGTCATAAAAAATATCTAAGACCTTGCCTGGGAGCTGAGCAGGGTGGGAGGGGCCTGAGCTGTGAGTCACCGCCCCCCCCTCCCTCCCCCAGTCCTGAGGTGGATATGGCTGGGGAGGTGGAGGCTCCCACCCCATCCCTGGGGTGCAGCCGCTGTTTACAGGCCTGTGGGGCAAGTCCCGGCAGTGTAGGGTGGATGCAGGCGCCAGCCGCGGGCCTGGCCGGGGAAGGGAGGGTATGTGGGTGGGGGGAGGAGAGACGGTTATTAAACAGCCTGCCCTTGGGACTGGCAAACAGCCTTGCCTGGCAGAAACTGCTGGAAAATGAAATGTGAGGACCTGATCCAAGGCTGGGGTGGGAGGTCGTCGAGAGGATAAGGGAGATGGTGTTTGGGTCTAGGAGCCAGGATCCCTCTGGGATGGGGACTCTGAAAGACAAGTCTAAAGAAAGGTGAACAGCAGGCAAGGGGTGGGGGTGGGGGTGGGGTGGGGGGGGTTGGGAGCTGAGTTTCAGAGGAGAAGCGTGTGGGCTTCCTCTAAGCAAATTCCACTTTAGGGAGAGAGACAGGGAACAAGGGCTTTAAGGATTCCTGATCCGCCACTTGGTAGGGGGTGACTGAGGACCGTGGCGTCCTTCCTCAACCTCAGTTAACATATCTATAGAATGAAATCACCATGATTTCCTTCACGGGCAGATGCAGGAACTATGCATCACAGGAGCTAATCCCCCCCACACACACACACACAAAAAAAATCTACGCAGCTGTGCCGAGGGAGTCAAAAGAGGATGGCCAAGCTCCACGGTTGAGCTTTACCCAAGGAGGAGAAAGGGGCAGGGTGAACCTCTGCTGCTTCCTGATGACAGGGTCCCTCAAAGGAGGATGGATGGGATGGCAGGAGGGGGTGGGGGACAGTGAGGGGGGTGTTGAATCCACACTGAGGATGTTAAAATGTAAGGGATCTCACCCAGAATTGCCTGCGGTGTCCTGGACCATGAGTACTTTCTCACCAGCAACAGTGGCCCACGGGACGGGGTGGGGAGACTGAGGTGGGCACAGTGGGCCCGCGGTGCAGGAATCTGCCACTCTTGGGAAGGGAAGTCCCCTGAGAGGACGCTGACTTGACCCCGCTGTCTTAGGAGGAAAGAGTTCTGGGGTGTGAGAGGCATGTGAGCAGGGGCCGGAAGAGAGGATTGTTTGCTTCCTACCAAAAGGAACAAGGGAGATGAGGGCGCCTGTAGCCCAGCACTCGAGGACTGAGGTAGGAGGCTGCCTGGTTGCTGGCTAGCCTGGGCTACCAAGCAAGACTGTTTTTAAAAAAAAGGAGGAGGAGGAGGAGGCAGCCTGGCAGAGGGCTGTCATGACCTTGGGGCCACTGCCAACCTTTCTGCAGTCCTTGTTCCGCAGAGGTGGATGGACCCATGCTTCTAGCGGCACGGCTGTACCCAGAAAATCTGATGGGGACCACTGCCCCGTCAGCCACCTGCTCTTCACCAGCCCTTCGGGGGAGGAAGGGACTAGCTGTCTTCTGCCCCCGCACCCCACCCTATGCATGTGGACTCCTAATACCGATCTTGCCCCAACTGGCCTTGGCCGGGTGGAATCCCTGCCTTGGGGCATGAACATTAAAACCCTGGGCTGGCTCCTGCCAATGGTAATTAGTTCTAAAGCGCTTTCCCGCCATGATGTGCCCACGACTGGCCTTCAGCAGCAGGAGGCTGCTGCGGGAGAAGACAGCCCCTTTAACAGGCTCGGCAGGAAGAGGGGAAGAGATGGGAGGCCAGGGTCCCCTGGTGGGTGCCAGAGGGCTTGGGTGCTGTGCTGGCTTCTATCTCAGAGTCTAAGCTGCCCCGGGGCTGGCTGTCCAGGCAATCCCCCACTCTACCATGGCTCAGTGCACCGAGACTTGTGACCAGCAGGCAACAAGTCCCTTCTCTTCATCTCCACTGTATTCTTGGAGGTCAGAACTCTTATTTTGTCCATTTTATAGACGAGGAACCAAAGACAGAGGTGCTGTCGATAGCTTGCATAAGGTCGTAAGGCCAGCCTGAGCCCAGGGGTTAGGCTAAACTGGTTCTTTATTCAAGCCCATGTTAACTTAGTTTTTCATCTGTAAAATGGGGTCAAATTCTCAGCTCGGTGGGGTAGCATAGGAAGATTCCATGCAAGTCAGGCATGGCAGTTCATACCTGTAATCCTAGCACTTGGGAGGAGAAGGCAGGAGGATGAGGAATTCAAGGTTATCCTGGGCTACTTTGACATAATTGAGGCCAGCCTGGGCTGCATGAGATCCTCTAGAAGATACTCAGCATAGGACAGGGCCTGGCATGCAGTAAATGCCCAATAAGTGGATGTCATCCTGGGTTCTGTGTGCACCTCCGATTCTTGCTCTCTGACCCTTAGGGACCTGACCTTTCTGTCTGCCCGATGGATGGGTCTGCTACCTCCCTCATTCCCGGAATACACTGGAGATTTTTCAAGTGTGGGGAACCGAATCGGCACCCAGGGCTTTCCAGATTCCCCTGGCTATGTGTGCTGGTGTCTGCTTGTACCAGCTTGTTACGAGCTGAAGATTGCCGATTTCAGATGTTGTCTAGCTGGTTGCTGAACTCGGTCATTATTAACAACCGCATTCTGCAAACCGATAGTGAAGTAACTTGCATTCAAAACAAAAGCTGACCAGTGGCAGTGTTCAGGAGGCGAGGTGGAGCGGTAGGAACTAGTCTGGGCCACGCAGAGACTCTTGTCTCCAGAAAAACAAAACAAAAGAAAACAAAAAACCAAACATATATGGAAAGTCAGACACACTCAAAACCCGTACATCCCCATTATTTTACTATTATGTGTGCTTTGAGATTTATGGCTATTGTATTGATACAGTGAGGTTTTATTTTTTTCTTTTGTGCTGAGGACAGCTTAGGTTATCACTGAGTTGCATTCCCAGCCCTCCTTCCACTGTAAACACTTTTTTTTTTTCCATTTTGGAGATAGAGCCTTGCTATGTAGTGCAGGCTAGCCTAGACGTCAAGATCCTCCCCAGCGCTGAGCTTCCCGGGGTGTGCCACTAGCCCTCTGATGTGTCTCGCTGTTCTACAAAGCAGTGGGCCACTCCACTTTCAGTTGCACACTTGGTGACGTCCTGACAGTCGCTCCGAATCGGGAGAATTTACACCCTGGAAATGGGCAGACGCTTCATTCATGTCAGGCCTTCTGCCTCCCAAACAGGGAGCCAGCATCCCACTTCCTGTGTTCTGTGTCTCTCTCATCCCATCTATTTCCTTTGGGCCTTTCCTACGAGGTGTTCCCCAAACAGGGATTAGGGGTCACCTAGAAATCCTACAATAATTTCAGGGGACCACAGTTAGGCTATAAAGGGAAACATGAAGAGCTTAAGTAAGGCTCAGGGACTCTGCATTTATGAAGCCCTTACTATGTACACATCATCGTGGAAACTGCTTACATGGGCTAGCACATCAAGTTCTCATTAAACACACACACACACACACACACACACACACACACACACACACACACACACACAACTGGAGTCTATCAGTTTCCAAACTCAGGGACCAGACAGTTGGGTAGTGAGGGAAATCTGTACACCTTTTAGACAGCAGAGAAATCAGAAAGGTCAGAAGTTTGTTTAGGGCTGCGTAATACTCCCCATAGGCTAAGGACCCTGTGCCTCAGCTTCCACAGAAGAGCCCTTATTTGCTTGAGCTCTGCCTCCCAGCTCCCCTCTTGGCTGTGCCCCAAATCCTTACCTAAGGCTTCAGGTTCCTCCTTCTTGCTCCTTGAGGTGATGCTGCTGGCACGCTCAGCCTGGGGACCAGCAGTCCCAGAGGGGAGCAGCTGGAAGGTGGGGTCTAGTTCTAGGATCATCTGGTTCAGGGTCTCCAGAGAGATGTCAATGCAGGAGTTGAGGTCCTGTGAGGTCCCTGAAGCTTGCTCCCCAGGATGCTGCAGGAGGCAGGGAGCTTTGGCTTCTGCTTGCTGGGCCTGCTGGAACCGGCCGGAGGTGCCTTTGCAGGGTGTGGGGGCCATCAGAGGCTGGGTTCCCCAGCTCTCTGTGGTGTAGTAAGGACACAGTGCCGGGAGGCCAGGGCTGGGGGCTGGATGCATGGCCATCCTGGATTCCTCATGGGGAGTCAAGCTGACCACGTGACCTCCAGCCAGCAGGGAGCTGGACATGATGGGGCAGAGAGTCCAGTGGTTTACTTCTGGGTTCTGATCAGCCTCACTTCTACCCCAGAGCTGTATCCTGCTCGTGAGAGCTCCCAGGACCTGAAAGAGGAGGGTAGGATCTGAGTGGCCTCTGTAGGTGAAGCCCCTGCCTGGCTCTTCAGTGAAGGACAGAGCAGCTCATTCAGGTAAAGACTGTGTTGGCTCCCTGGCTCTGACACTCACTGGCTGTGTAAGTTTGGACAAAGGAATTATCTTTTTCCCTGTCTTAGTTTCCTCTTTTGAAAAATGAGCTAAAGTTAATAATATGCTTAGGACAATGCCTGGCATATCTAAGCCTTTGCAAGTGATGGTTAAATGACTTAAGAGGATGATTGCTAATCACTTATTATGCCATGTGCATATTTCTAAATGAATGTTAGCTGGTGTTTATGAGAACCACCAGGTTCAGAGGCTCCGAGAGTGATACATAAAGCCCTTTCAAGATGTTCTAACAACCTGATGAGGTGGGTACCACTATTATCCCATTTTGCAATGAAAAGAACAGAGATACAGGGGCCTGGCTCAACGGTCACGTAGGCAACCAATGTCAGAGCAGGATTGGATCCCAGGCGGCGGCCTGCTCTCTGATAAATGGATAAGCAGGCAGGCAAGCAGCTGTGAACAGGATCACCGGGGACTCGGGGACTTGGGGGAGATTCTATGGCACTGCTGGGAAGGCCAGGGAGGACTTCTGTGGAGAAGGAAGAGCACATGAAAAACCAGAAAAGAAGGAGCTAGCTGAGCACGGCAGGAAAGAATGAGGAGGCCAGGCAGTGTTCAAAGCAGTGTTTGGCATGTGTAAAGGCCCAGTGGCCAGATGGGAGGTCAAAGTCAGCCAGGAAACAGAGGCGCTTGGGATGGAGGGACAGGTGGGGCAGGTGGGCTAGCTAGGTTCTGCTGAGACTCTTAGGCTCAGCTCAGGGCTGACAATTCAAACCCTGGAGGTAAGAGAAAGCCACGAGGGAGTTTTTTTTTGAACTGGGTAGTGATATGATCGGATGACAGTCACTCCCCGGGGGCTCATCCAGAAAAGCGAATGTCCTAACTTTCTGTCTCCTTTCCTGTGGAAAGTTCTTCCCGTTGTCTAACCTTGATGCTACATACCTGTTTCTCATAGATTGTGTGGGGGAGGAGGTGAAAGGTCCTGGGACAGAGCAGCGAGAAAACTGGGTGGGACGGGGACATGCTGACCTTAGTCCTTCTGGCTTGCTGCCTGCCTCCTGTGTCAGAGCATGAAGCCTCAAGGTGCTGCATGAGAAACCACTGGACAGTTCTGGGGATGACTTAGACGTTGGGGATTACAGAGTTTGGCACCCTCATAAGGGGTTCCCAGTTACAGAGCACCCATCAAGTGCCAGGCGCTGGTCACCATGCTGTGTACAGCTGCACCTGGTAATTCAGCCTTCTTGCATCCATAGCCTCTGTCCTCAGTCCACTGTGCCCCTGAAGACACCCAGACTCACCAAAGTCAAGAACGCTCTGGGGATTGGGTGTGGTAACACACCTGTAATCCCAGCACTGGAGAGGCAGAGGCAGGAGGATTAGGAGCTGCACAGTGAGTTGGAGGCCAGCAGGAGATATAGGAGACCCTGTCTCAATCCCTCATCCCCCAAGCAATCACCC